TCGTGTAGATCGACAAGTAGTACCCCACGAGCCAAAAGAAGAAAAAGAAGAAGAAACGAAAAGTTTCGTGTAAACGCCGCGTGAGGGTTGGGGGTTTGGACCTCATGGCTATTTCTCTGTGTGGAGAGAAAGAAGAAAAGATCATGTGTCCCGGATTCTGCGTGGAAGAAAAAGCCGTTATGTGGGTGGGGTGGTGATGAGGCTTATAATTCGGCATGCGCATCCTTTCATCGCCATGCTGGATCATTTGCGTTCCTTGCAATATTCCGCATCTCGTCATCACATATCCCACCCGCACCTCCAAATCCCAGGCTCACCGCGTCTCAACAGGGACCTCGAGCTCAGGTCTGGGCATGGGCTTGAGTTCCGACCCCGCCCCGCTTTCAGCCCTCTTACGACCCGTCAAGGAGAAATGATGGCTCGACGTCGGCCGATCCCTGACCTCGTCGTTTGCATGGTTATTATTGTCGCCGAAGCGGGAGAAGAGGCTGCGTTTCTTGGTTTGTGGCTTGGGCTCGTCGTTGAGGCCCACGTCCTCGAAGTGCTCCTCGGGCACTTGGTCGCGGCTGTCGGGGCGGCCCTGTTGCATGGAGGAGCGGGGGGTGGCGCGTGAGCGGCGGGCGTCGAGTGACCGGCGGGTGTCTACTGAGCGGCGTGCATCGAGGGATTGGCGTGGGTAGGTTTCGCTGACGCAGTCTGTTACGGGGGAGCGGGCGGATATGTCCTAGAGGGGGGGGGGAATGAGTGAATGGCTTCTGTGTACTCGGGTCTGGAATGGCATACAAATGAGCGCCTGTACGAGTCAAAACTCTCGCGGGAAATGCTAAAGGGTTCATTCTCGCTGAGGAGACTGCGGTGATTCGACGAGGTGGTTGAGACGTTGGACTTGGAATGCCAAAACGTGGGTTTCTCTTGTTGCGGTGATGGCTGGCGCAAGCGTCAATAGGGCTTACAAGGGGGGTCGAGACCGCGATGCAAGCGATGCGGGAAAGCAACAATATAAAGACAAAGGCAAAGTCTTACAGGCAAGTAGACTCCACTATCATTGATGTCTGTTCCTCACGGTAAGCGCTAGACGACGCAATGCTACCCCGCAGCGATGCACATTTGACATGCGCTTCAGAGAGGGCAGACGTGTTTGGAGAAGGGCTCACCACTGAGCTTGTACTCTGCAGGGTTCTTGAGCTGCAGGGGCTTTGCGCCCGAGACCGTCGTGTCCTTGAAGCCGTTCTCCGCCGTACTCCGCTGCACCTCATCACTCTGCTCAGGGCCGCCCGCGCGGCGAAATGGGTTGCGAATGGGCATCTGCAATTACTGTGGTATAGGGCTAAAAAAGGACAAAAGAGGGGGGGGGGTAGGGGAACACGGAACAAGCGCGGCAGATGATGAGGGGGAAGTGTCAGAAGCGGGGTGTTTCAGCGGCGGTGAAAGGGTGAAGGTGGATGTAGAGGTTAAGGAACACTGTGAATCCTGGGGGGGACTTCTCTGATCTCACCAATCTGCAGTTGAGCCAATCAGACTCGAGGGCGTCGCCTCGGCCTTGACGTCTTCCGTCCCTTCCGTCTCTTCGCGCGAGGCTGTGCTGGGTCTTGGTCGCCTTGCGGGAGCGGGAAGCCCTCAATGGGAGACGTCCTTGTCGGGCGCAAACGAAACCACAGTTCTCTGCACTACGCAACCCATTGTACCATCATACCCATCTGCCACGCATGCTATTCTCGGCGCGACCAGCTGTCCGAGAAGATGCACTGCTGACGGTCGAAGCGCTCCCAGTCCGTGGAAGCGCCCGTAGTCGGCTCAGCTGTCCCAACCGCGGCGAACAGAGGGCTCCCTGCATGATCACGTGGTGGCATGTCATATGACCATGGGTTTAGCGTCGGGCGACTTGGGCTTTACTCCAAGTGGTTAGAATATCCCTGTAGGTTCAAGTCTATATTACAGCGGCAAATTTTTATAGTTATATAAACTAGCCTATAGTTAAGTATAAATTAGGGTAATTTAAGCAAGTAAATATAGTTTTTATTACTATCTTTTTTAAACATGTTCTAAACCTATTCTTAATAATATATAGGTATTCCTAAATACTATACTAGAGTTTAGTATAGTAGTACTAGATAATATATCTAAACTAGATAGTAATATTAGAGATAAATTTAGGTAACTATATAAAGTACTAGAGGAGGATAGTAGTAGTAGTATTAAGGAAGTAAGTAAAAGTAAATAGAATAAGTTTAGAATAAGTTAGTAACACGTTATAGGGGTATAATATATACCTTACTTATAGTAATAGTTAAGGACTACTACTTATACTAGTAATTATTAAGTATATAGCTATTCTCCTAGTATACCCTTAATTATATAGCTAAGGGTATAGGTATATAATACTAGTTTAGCAATATAAAGATAGCTCTTACCTAATAAGAGAAGAGGTGCTTATATAGGCTACACAGGTAACACGTTAAGAACATGTTCTTAAATTATTCTAATTCTAGCAGGTATAATACTCCTACTAGTCTATCTATCTTAATAGGCCTACAACTTTACTATTCTTTAATAGCTAGCTAGCAAGCTAGTATAAATACTAATACTCTAGGGTAAAAGTGTGTAAGTATCTTAAGAATATATTATAAATATATTCTTATTATATTATTAATAATATATTATATAATTAGATCTAAACCTTAAAAAGTATAGTACCTAAGAAAATTCTATAAAGAGAACTATAAATAAGAAGCTATTATTATAGCCTTATTAAGCGCTTCTCTTTAAGGATTTATAAGGACTACTAGGTGTCTTATTATTCTATAATAAGGACTATAGTAAATTAGGTAGGGAGCAAAACTTAAATATATTTAAAACGTGTTAATAATAAGTTAGTAAATTATAGAATAGGCTTAACTATATATTAGCTATTAGAACTATAGCCTAATATCTACTACTAGGAAAAAATATTATTTTAGTTAGGTACTACTAGAGGTAGACTCTATATATCTATAAGGTCTTCTAACTAGGGAGATATTAAATCTTTCTAGTAGTCCTGCTTTATATTCTATAGTTAAGCTATAGTTAAGCTAGATAAAGAAGTGTAGTAGGTATATTACAACCTATTCCTAATATATTCCTAATATATTCTAGGTATTAATTATCTATAAGGGCAAGGATCTCTATTTAAAATCCTATATAAAGTTACCTTCTAAGTAATTATACTAATAGATATAGTAGTAATACCTTTTTTTACTATTATTTCTTTTAGTATATATATATATATACCTCCTCCTCCCTTAATACTATCTAATAGTAATATTAAGGAAGTAGTAAAGGTATTATAGCCTATACTTACTCTATAGCTTATATAATATAAGTTATTTATAACCTATTATAAATATATTCCTAACTTATTATAGCCTAGTTCCTAAACTTAACCTAGCTCTAAACCTATCTCTAACTTAGGTTTCTATTCTATTAAAGAAATATATATTAGCTTTGCAAATAAAGATAAAATCTTATATATTATAAAGCGTGAAAAGCTTCTATAGTTCCTATTTAAGAGTAGCCTTAGAGGAGTATACTATAAGTAGAGGATAAAGTATTAGGATCCTAAAACTATATATAGTGTAAGAGAACAGGTTTAGAATATATTACTAACACGTTACTATAGGCGTATATATAGCAAATCTTTATATTAAGCTTAGGTAACTTAATTATTTACCTTTTTAAAGAGTAGGTATTAATTCTATTAGATTAAGACATGTTCTAGATAGATATATTATATAAGAGGTTATATAAGGCATAGGTAGAGATTCTAATAGTAATCTTCTACCTATAGGAAAAGAAGCGTACGCATTAAGAATAGGTTTATAACACGTTTCTAATATATTATAGTTATTACTCTTAGCTAAATTATTATAGATAAGGATATAACTAAGATATATTAAGTTACTATTACTAACTTCTTTTAGAAGTGTAAAGTACTTATAAAAAGATAAGTGTTATAGAGGTATATTTACTTATAGGGATTCTATAGGACTACTATTAATATATATAATAAGCAGATAATAGGCAAGTTTTATAGCGCACTATAACCTGTTTATAATATATTTCTAACTTGTTTCTAGGACTTAGGCGCTATCTCTAGTTAATTAATCCCTATAAGCGTAACTAGCGCTAGTAACTTTAATCTTATATAAGATTTTGTTAAGTATATCTATAAAGAAGTATTTATAAAGTATATAAAAGAGAGCTAGATAATACTACCTCTTTATATCTAAGTAAATTACTATAGGTATTAATAGTAGAGGAATACTTTTAGCTTACTAACCTCCTTTTACGTAAGTAAACATATTCTAAACCTATTCTAAATATATTCCTAACTTAGTCTTATATAATTAGGACATAAACCCTCTAAAGATGCCTAAAACTAGGTAATCTATAAGAAAAACCTAGTAATTACTACTAGGATTATATAATACTATAGTAAAATATTAAAAGAGGTATAGGAAAAACTAGAATCTTATTTAAATATAGCTAAGCAAGCAGGCTAGAAAGGATATAAAACTAGTAAGCATATAAGTATTCTTAAGGCTACTTAGAAGTAAGTTTATAACCTATTCTTAACCTATTAGAATTATATAAGTAATATTATATAGTGCACACTAGATAGATCTATAGGATATAAAAGAGTTTAAAGCCTAGAGCAAGTTTAGAATACGCTATAACTATAGAACTCCTAATAGGCTTAAGCAAAGGTACCTTAAAAAGCTTTAGAGGGGAGAAAGTAAGTCTTATACTAGTATTATACATATTTGCTAATTAAAACATATTTAGAATATATTTAGAACGCGTCCTATAATAATAATAATACTCTAGATAATAATAAAGCAAGTCTTGCTATATCTAACTTAACTAGATATATCTTAGTCCTAATAAGAAATAAAAGAGTATACTTAAAAGCCTAAAGCTAGAGGGCAAGTAGTAGAGCAGTATTAGAAAGAAGTTTACTAGCCCCTTTTCTATCTTCTCTACTACTAGGCTCTTCTCCTCTACTAATAGTAACCTAAAGGTATGCTTTATAAAACACGTTTATAACATATTCCTAACTTATTATTAGTCTATAACTATAAACTTTATAATAAAAGGCTCTTCTTAGTAATTAGGCTCTAAAGGAGAGAAAAGAAAAGCTAGAGGTAGATAAGAAAGAACTTATATAGAAAAAGGCACTATTTAAATTATAAAAGGTATAGTTTAAACTTAAGAAAGAGATAGCTACTTTTTATATAAAGTAGGGTTAGTCTATAAATATAGTAACTAGTTCCTAACTAGTTCTTAATATATTCTAGTCTATTATATAAGTATATATAAGTAGATAAATATATATTCTTTCTTCTTCTCTTTTTTCTTCTTTCTTCTTACACTCTATAAGAACTTTTTATATTTAAGAGTTTAATACTATTTTACTATCTATCTTTCCTAATATTATTAGATATAACTAGTTAATATAGTCTATAAAGATCTTTTAAAGTTAGTATATAATAGAACACGCTAGGAATATGTTATAAACTTATTCTAATACTAAGTAGGATTTATACTAGTAATATATTAAGCTTAAGTTACTTCTATCTAATACTAGGGTATTCTCTCCTATAATATCCTACCTAAATAATAGGTGTATAGTATTTCCTAGCAAGCTTTTCTACTAGGCTATTTAGGCTAGATTAGGGGTATAGGAACTTTATAGAGTATATATACATGTAAGTTAGAATATATTTATAATATATTAATAACTATTTTAGTATTGCTTCTCTAATAGAGGTAATCTTATCTACTACCTTAAGAGGTATTATCCTAAGGTTTAAATAGCCCTAGTAAACTATAGTAGAATTATAATATAAGGTATTATAGAAGCAAGGATCTTCTATAAGAGCTTAATAGTAAATACTTAAGAATGTGTTCTAAACACGTTAATAATACGTTCTCTACTAGTAGAGTAGACTACACTAAGTGCCTCCTTTAAGGTTTAAGAACCCTCTAAGATAGCTAGTCTATAATAAGAAGTGGTAGCTAGAGTAGAGGCTAAAGAGGAAGTAGAGAGTAAAGAAGAGGAGTAAATAGTTGCTCCCCTTTACACTATAAATAATATTTAGTAAAAGTAGTAAAAAGGAGATATAAGTCTAGTCTCTTAAAATATATTTAGAATATATTAATAATACGTTATAGCTAGACACCTATAAATACTAGATTCTTCTTTAATCTAAGAGACTACTAGAGTATTATAATACCTATAAAAGTAAAAAGAAAAAGTTATATACTATTAAAGGACCCTATAAAAGTAAATAGTACTTTACTTTTAGTAGATAGAAAAAAAAAGAGAAGAGTAAAGAGTTTATTTTAGTAATTACTACTACCCCTTTAGGTTATATACTATTATATATTATTTATTAGAACTTATTCTTAATATATTCTTAATATATTCCTACTTATTACTATTATTATCTCCCTCCCCCTCTCTAGTATCTTTACTATCCTCCCTATCCTCCCTAGGCTCTATAAAAGCATACTATAAGTAGAACTAGGTAGTATTCTAGCAGGAATTAGTAAGGTCTACACTAGTATTAAAGTAATAGTCTTAAAATATATTAAGAATAGGTTAATAATATATTATAAATAACTTACTATAGCTAGGATAATTATAAGTATAGATAGTATAAGGAACCTAATAACCTTAAATCCTTAGTAGGGTAGATATAGTAACAAAGTTAAGCTATAATAAGTTAGTAATATATTTTTAATAGGTTCTTATAGGCTATACCTTATTACTATTATAGCTAGTGCAAGTCTTTTTCTAAATTATATTTAGGAGGGTATTAGTATTTATAGGGGGGCTTATAGTAGCTACTAGCTAGGCTTAGAGAACTTCTATAAAATATATTAGTAATAAGTTTTAAATATATTCTAAATAACTTATAGTAAGGAGTATTCTAGTAATTATATATAACCTTTATATAGAAGTCTATATATATTAGTATAATAAGTTAAGAATAGGTTAATAATATATTTACTCTTTACCTTATAGACCTCCCTTATAGAGGGCTAGCTAGTCTTCTTAACCCTACTAACCTTATAGTAGGCTATATTAAGCCTATAATCTTTTTTAGTATAGGTATATAAAGTGCCCCTAGTACCTAGAATAGCCTAAGAATATTAGAACCTATTTAGAACACGTTTAGAACCTATTCTTACTCTATATAAGGTGCCCTTATTATTAATCTTAGTATAGTAGTAGTGCTCTCTACTCTCTATCTTAACTACCCTATTAGGGCTAACTATAGGCTATACCTTAATATTATCTAGGACGTAGCTAAAGGTAAGGTACTATTAATAGTGCTTTTATAACCTATTAAGAATATATTCTAAATATATTTTAATCTACTTATATAGGATATAAGGGATACGTTAGTAATAGGTATAGTAGTAGTAGCTTATAGTATTACTAGTATAGAATATATTTAGAATAGGTTTAGAACGTGTTATAAAATCTTATAGTATAATATTTAGTTAACCTTGCTTAGCTAGCTAGTAGAGCTTGGCATAGCCTAACCCTATACTAAATACGAGTTCACGCAGCGCTAATTCTATGGTTATATGAACTGCGCCCTCCATGATCACAAAGATGGCATTGTCAGGTACCAGGGCACAAAGCGCCGACTATGCGCCTCAGCTTACTGTACCTCGAACCCACCCTTTCGCCTAAAAAAACAGCTTGATTGAACCTCATGGCTTGGGAGGCAATTATCACGACCTTTGTGGTTCTGATTCAGCCATTCATGCCCTCCTACCGCCGCTACCGTACCTCAGCGTCAGGTAACCCCATCGGTCTTTTCATCTCGCACGCCCATGCCATGCAAACACATCCACAATCCCATGTCCCTTTTTCCCCCATGCGCGTTGACAAAAATCATACAAGGGGCGGGCATACTGCCGCCAGGAAAAGAAAACATACCCGCCAACCAGTCTTTCATATACCACAGTACAACACGAGCTATGCGAGATGAATGCCCCAAGCTTCCCGAGAGCCAAATAAAAAGGCAGTGGCCCCTTATGGTCTGATGATGGCTTACCTACTTTATACAGACTGTGGAACAATCGAGACTGTTGTCTAGAACGCAGAGCTCGGCGAAGATTATCTGCGATGCTGGTGATTAATGCTACCTCATAAACCTACGATGGGTAAGCAATATCTGCATGGCCCTTGCCTGCATGGGTATGCATTGACATGGGGGAGGGGGGAACCATTCTGTCATGTAGGTACGCGGTAGGGTACATGCCACTGTACCTATAGGACATGCTACTATTAGCTACAATACAATACCTCCAACACGACACCCTTGCCCGAAGTTCCCAGATCCAAGGGACGAGATACGAAGAACCAGCAAGGGATTTTGTATCCGCAGGGCAGGTGGTGTTTGTACACTACAACATGACCTCCCACTCAGCTTCAGCACTACCCAAACTCTCAAGCACAAGCTCAGCACAAACACCCCAACCATTAGGTATCCTTCCAAACCCCCATGACCAAAAAAAAATGTCGTTCTTGGCATGGCCTACGGTACCGGTAGCCATAATCATCATCTCGAGGCTAGTAGCCTGTAGTGATAAAATTCAAGGCATTTAGAATATTTATAATCCCAGGTATATCTAGCCCAACCATCGCCCATGCATCTATACGATCAGTACAAGACCAGCCATCTACTCAATCGCAAACACGAAGCGCACACAGTGCAAGCACCACAAACTCTGCCAGTGCGCGCTCAACGCACAGGAGATGCGCTCGTCTTCTGTGCATCGAGCTGCTGCATAGGTTCCTCGTTCTCGTCTGTCTTGACTTTGAGCGACGCAAGCTTGCCATCTGACAGCATGAGAGACGCGTTCAGCGTTCAGGCACGGCGATGTGATTCGTTTTGTAGGGTGCGCTGTGCGTTGTGCGTTGTGCATTGTCTCACGCCGGGTTGTGGACGGTGTGGGGTGGATTGGTAGGAGGGGGGGTTGTTTGGTGATGGTTAGAGCACTGGCGTACGGTACCTGGTGGAGTACCTACCTACTGTACCTACTAGACTAGGCGCAATAGATGAATGAGGGACGGATGACTTGGTGTAATCGATAGGCCATGCTTGATTTCAGCTGGCACGGGACGGCTGTCTCACGAGTCAGATTGGGTAGGAGATGGTTGAGAGCTGTGTAGGTGAGGCTGCGAGAAAAAGAGGCAGTTCCACGACTTCTCCGTGAGCTTGTAAGAGTAGCGTGGCACTACCGGTACAGCTCCAATCCTTCCTTACCGCATGGCAAAGTTCAATCATGTCAGGCGCGATGATGCACACGCAAGAAAGTTGCACCACGAGCGCCATTGATGATCACCAGCCTTGGATTCTCCCGGGTGAATGGGTGTTTTCTTTACCTCACTTTTTTCTTCAAGAAACCCCCCCCCCATTTCAGGAGTTTCACGGCGGGAGAAGAAAAAAATCCTTTCTGCGCCAACACTAGAAAATTGACGCGCAGATACGAACGCCGAGATTCTGGACATTATTGACGAGCCTGAGGGCACTGCATGCACTAGTCAGGCTTCGGTTTAGACTCTTTAGAGTGCACCGCACCGTCTAGCGCAGAGAATGCAATGTCAGGCTAAGGCGAGCAAGCCGTCAACGACAGACTAGGTAACTGCAGACTATCTGTAGCAGCCTGGGAAGGCTGAGAGATGGGAGGACTGGTTGGAGAGGCTGGCGATGCAGGTTGAGGAATCCAGTTCGGCGGGAGGAGGGGGGCGCGCCTCTACCTAACAGCTGCACGTCGCCTCTCGGCCGGTCGACAGGCTAGGGTATACTACTACTAGTACCCAAGAGTATCCAAATCGCAGAAACGATGATCCTGACGTGTCCAACCGATAAAGACGAGAGTGCTAAAGTTGGAACACTGCGGGCCTGGGAATGGGTGATCAGATGGCCTGCCCATAGACGTACATACCGATACCATGGCCAGTAGTAGCAGCTGGATGGGTGGGTGGGTGTGGAGCGGTGTGTGGTGTGTGCTGGGTGGGTGTTGCTGTTGCACAACGATGCTGTGCGTGGTGGTCTCAATATCGCCCAACGATGCTGTGTTCTGGGCTGCTTTGTCGAGCCGTGGCTGAACCAGGTCACACCCTGGGGCCTGTCCCGAGGTCAGCCATGGCAGGCTGCATGTTGGGCCTCTTGTTGATGATGACGGATGGCATCATGGTGGAGCCTGGGGCGTGTAGAGTAGGTATGTAATGTATTGTACAATAGAGTAAGAGCTCAGAGCCGATTTAGACGGGAAGGTGGATGTGGGCCCAAGGAGAAGGCATTTTTGTCAACGACGACAGATTTCGGCGGCTTGCTGGCCTTTGATTCGTGTCTTGGGCAAGCATGGCGAAACAGTCTTTCCACCTTCAAGACGACCAGCCGCCAGCCGCCAGCCGCCAGCAGCCCAGCGGCGACGGGGTGCCTAGTTCCCATGTGGATGCGAGGGGTCCCACACGTGGTGCACCGTGCATGCGAGACGAGACGAGGGAAGGGGGGGAGGGGGTTGGGTTGGATGAGAAATGAAATGAGACGATGCCTGGTTTGTTGAATGAATGAACGAGCGAACCAACAAGCCAGCAACCCAGCCAGCCGTGACCGATGCAAGCAGGTTTTGGCCAGAAGATCACCACCAACGCAGCCTGTGTCGTTTGTATCTGCGATGCGATGGTGGAATTCTCCGCGGTGGAAGAGCTAAGGAAGGACGGACATGCATAGTACGGGAAAAACGGGCGGCTCAAGCGCTGGGCGGGCCACCAGACCAGCAAGACTATTTCTTGTGAGGGTGTGGGTTGTGTTGTATGGGTGCAGGGCAAGGCAAAGGTCAGGCAAGGCAACGCAAGGCAACGCAAGGCGTGCCAAAGCTTAGTATGACTAGAGTAGAGTAGCACCTGTTCCAGCAGCCAGCCCCCCTTCCCTCTGCGCGACTCAATCACGATCAAGAGAGAGAATGTCAGTGTGTCGCGGCTATGAGGTGCAATGAGAGTACCCCATGTACTCCGTACTTCGTTGAGCGATCTGCGTGCCTATGATGTAGGTAGAAGAAAAGAGTCCATGTCTTTTCTTTGTGTGTACGTGTGTCGTCGTCGTCGTCGTCGTCGTGATGGACAGAGACTCCAAGTACATTGCTCTACTGTTGCGGGCCACCGCTGCCGAGAGGGAACAAGCCGGCCCCCGGTGAGCGTTGCGCCGGAAGGTGGTTGGTCCGCACCCCGGCCTTCCTACGAGCGAGAGCCTACCAGCCGGCGACCGGCGAGCAGAACGGACAGCGGACAACATGGCTCAAAAGCGTATCAAGTCACCTCCGCTCGTATTAGGACGGTGATGTGAAATGAAGCCGACGTCGCTCCATGCATGTGTTTGGGGGAGAAGACAGAAAAGTGTGTCATCACGGTGACGGTGATGGAGGATGGGATCATGGATGGATCATGGATGGATCATGGATGCTCTTTTGCTCGCCGAGGCTGGACGGTCCTGTAGTCCCGACCTCTCCTCTCGCCAACACCCCCTCCAGCTCCAGCTCCAGCTCCAGCCCCAGCCTCTCAGCCTGTCTGCCATTGTTGGTGACGAACCAAGAGACCATGTGGTGGTGGTAGTAGTAGTAGTAGTAGTAGTAGTAGTGCACAGCAGATAGACACCTGCACACTGTTAGGTACCAAGTACCTCGCATCCTTCTTGCAACCTTGGCCCGTATCAACAAACGCCCGCACGCCGATCTGCCAAACAATGTCGCCATTCCAAACACTCGCGCATCGTCGCTTGCTATTTCGGGCGTACTGTCCTGCTGTCCTGCCGTCCTGCCCGCGTCCACAAGTGGCCTGTCTGCACCCTGCACCCTGCAAGCTTTGTCCATACCGTACTCCTACATACACTGTACATACACACAGCAACCACATGGACAGGAAACCAAACCCCCCTGGCACCACCAAGAAGAGGCGGGACACCTCCAAGCATACTGGTACTGGATTATGGCATGTGTGCGCAAATGGGGCCATCTCTTGGGTGTGCAGGGCAGTCCACTCTTACGATTCGAAACCAAGATGCCGTTGTTTCTCTGAGCGGGTCCCTCTTGCTACAGTGGTATAGTCTTAGTCTTAGCCATTCCTCTTTTCTGGGTCTTTGCACCCGATATAATATTTCCTTTACCCGTCCTCTCGCTTTGCGTGCATGTGTGTGCCCTGCCCTGCCCTGCCCTGCTTCGGCCAAGTACCTCACCCAAGTATTCCTCCTCCTCCTCCTCCTCCTCCTCCTCCTTCTCCTCCTCCCAACCCCCAGCCAGTTCCAGCCAGTCCCGGCCAGAGAAGCTCCCCAACAGCCACACCGGAGCACGAGGGACCAGTCTGCTCTTGGCAATCACCTACTCTCTCCTGTTCATCGACTGCCTGATTCACTGGTGACACCCGTTCCCTCGCTCGCCGCCAGCTCAACGTTCCACACTCGTTTCCACTGGCCTCCATCCTTCGACTCAAGACCTTCATTGCTAGAGTATCTTGCCATTCCTCATCCTAGCCTAAAAAGCGTCCTCTACACTCTCACGCTCGCTACCCCCTCCCTATCCTGTTGCCGTACACTTTTGCTCTTGCTCCTCGTCACGCGATCATTCGCTGGTCAAGGGGTCCAATTGAACCGTGCAACCAACCACCCACAACAAACACAAGGAGAGATTGGCACATGAAGACTTGATCACTTCCCTCCGAGACATCTACCATACAACACACCACCACCTCACCGCGGGCCGCTGTCGATCTTGCTTCCCCATAGACAACTGGTCCTGCCGCCCCTCTCACGGGTAGCACCTCCCTTTTTGAAACGTCCCTGACGTCGTACCTACCACGCCAGCTGCTACCTGCCTGCTCTTGCCTCTGCCCTGTTCAATTTCGGTTTGCCAGAACCCCATCCCTTATTCCTACCTCGGACCTACTCTAGCACCCTGTTTTCACCTTCTTCGCCACCATGGGTTTCGGAAAATCCGACGGCAATGAGTTTTTCAACTCGTGGGAATTATGGCAAAAAATGACCTTTGTGAGTTTGTGATCCAATGACGGGAACCTGACGGCTGCTAACCATGGACTTAGGTTCTTGCAGCGGGCATCGTACGACTCGCCCTACCAATGTGAAATCACTCTTGAACAGCGGCTAACTCGCCTAGGTGGTTACCATTTTCCTCGGTTTCTTAAAGGTCGCCTACAATCGCTACCGCCTTCGCAAGTACAGCAAAGTCGACAAGGGCAAGCAAGCGCAAACGCCAGAGATGCTCGAGGCACAGCCCGTCACCCAGGTATCTACCGAGACCAAAGATGAGATTCCTTTCGGGATTCGCGCCATCCAGAGCGGCATCGAGGTCGAAGGTGTCTACATTTCAAGGTCCAACACGCCTGTCGGCAGCAGCAGGAACTCAATCGCAACCACCTCCCAGCTCGAACTCCCCAAGTCAGCCCTGCTTAGCTCCCGCGACAGCACTGGTGTGGCCAGCTCGTTTGATCGTGCAGTTTCTGCAGAGCACCTGCCCAGCTACCACTCCCGTGCCTCTTCGCCTGGCCGCGCCTCCGCAAGCAACGCAACACTCCGGGGCTCCCACTACCACAATCCTTCTCGCAACTCGGCAGCTTTCCAGACTCTTGAAGGATCGCGATCGGCTCACATGTCTGGACCTCCATCTCGTAAGCTACCAATGCCTCAACCCGATCCGAGTGACCCAATCTAACAGTCGCAAGCTCGCAATGGACAAGCAGGGCCATCTGGCTCGACATCGCAGACGAGCAGCCGCACCAGTGATGAATCCGACTACATGGCAATCCAAGATTCTCGTGCGTACGAGACAGTCTACATGAGAGACGCCGTGAACCAGTCCCCGATCGACCCTCGAACCGACCTCGACCTGCTCCAAACCCATCGCATGTCCCACGTCGCCGAGACTGGCCAGCTTACCCCGAGGGTTCGCAAACCAGGTAACAGCGGAGAGTGGGCCAGCGTGGCGGACAGTCAAGTGTCTACGATCAATGGTGTTAACTATTTCACACCACAGAAAACGCCTTCTCCTCCGTACCCTGCTGGCAACTATCGCGACGAAGTAGGATCGGCCTCGTCATCGAGTCCCGTAGATGACCACGCGTCGAGACAAGCGATGCCCCTGACCGAGTCGTACGCACCAAACGCTCCCTACTACCCAGACACATACGAGCCCCGCGGCCCACAACACCAATACTCGTACGATGAGGTACCGTACGAGGTCAGCACCGACCAGAACCAGCAGCGCGAGTCTCAAGTCCTCCGCAGTGTCAATTCTGGCTTTCAGGTTCTGAAACCAGGCACATTCCAGCCGGCCACGCCAGAGGAGGTGGAGCTAGCCGAAAGGCGACAGTCAAAGAAGCTCCAGAAGAAGCGGAGAACATCTAGCGACTCGCGGAAGTCGGCGTTTGTCGAACAAGTCTAAGGCCCTTGCATTCGATTTGTCGGGTTTCCACGTCACAATTTCCAACACGTTCCTGGCTTGGTGGTCGCGTATGCGTCGCGAGCCGTGGCGTCGGGCCCTCCCTTCCCACGCCTTTGTTCCACTTTCGTAGCGTCACAACGGGTAGACCCCCTTTATCGCCGGCCCGATCCTTCGAATGGGAAATCATTGCATTGGAGTTTTTGCGTGTTTTAATGGAGTTCCAATTGGACATGTCGTCATTGTTATTTGGAATGGTTTGGCTTTTGGGCAGCCACGTCAGGGCAGACCGTTAGTCGTGTCTGGGGGGTTTGTGCAAAGGAAAAAAAAGGATAATGTGTACTATGGGGCTTGGTCCCTCTTCCTACTCGTTTGTTCAGCAGCGACTGGGCTGCTCGACCTTTGTTTGCGCGAGGCAGAAAAACGCGGCCACTTTATTTCACACCCATCTCACGCTTCGAAAAAAAAGCGACACTAGCTGGCAACGGCTAATCATCATTCCCGGCGTTGTAGACACACCACGAATGGGCATTTCCGGGCCTAAATTTCTTTCCATCATTTCTGCGGCTTTTCTTTTCTTTTCTTTTCCTTTTTTTTTATAACGACACAGCATCCGGCGGACGAACGAGGCTCAAATCTTTTGCATAAAGTAGCCTTTATCAGCAGAGCAATATATATATTTTGGGCTTGAGCAGTGATGAGAGGATGGAGGTTGGTGAATTTGTATGCTTTTGTGTGGACCATGGTATGCTGTGTTATGCTATATCGTGGCTATGCTACCCACTGATACATTTACATCGCATCTACCTTGCCGGTACACCAAAGCAATGCCAAGTCTCCGCGCTTACACCCTTTTCCCCATACCCATCCCCAGATCCTTCTCCACCCCCATCCCGTCCTCGTCCCGTCTTCGGCCACGGTTGCTTCCCGTGCGTTCGTGCGTGCTTTCTTGCGCCATCGCTGACGCGCTTACTTGCTTACTTGCTTATTGCTGACGCGCTTGATGATGCGGATGCTTACTCCGGACCCGCTTCGGAAGTTTTTTTGTTTTTTTTTTTTGTTTTTTTTTAAGCTGGTTGTTGCGGGATTTGTTGTGGGAGAGTTGTGTTTTTGGGGAGGGAGTGGGTTGAGGGTTTGGGGTTTGAGGGTTGGTGGGTTTGGAGGATGGGGGTTTTGAGTGGCACTATTGTGTAGCTCAGAGGTGTCGGTGAATATGGGGATTTATATGTCCATTATGGGTGATGGTCGAATACATGCGTTTTGGGCTGGGGGAGCGGGAAGGGAGAGGGGGTTTGGGATGTCTTGGAATTGAGAATATGTTGCTTGATTCTACCGGTAACCATACATCTCAAAAAGTACAAACCCTAATTCTCGCATGACCAGTTCTGTGTCTTTTCTCCGCACAAGCTTTCGTGACCTTGGGCGAACATCTTCCCTTCTACTGCAATGAAGGAGAATCCTGCTCAACCCAACCAGCAAGGGACGGCAGCTTTGTATACTCCCCAAACTACATGTAGAGGGCGTGTATTTGCATGGTCTCTGCATCCGCAGTTTTGACTTCTTTGCGTCCTTTGAAGACAAGGGCGTAGCAAAGGGAAACTGCATCCACGCGTTTAGCGACTTTACCGACACCTGCAAATGACTGATGAAGCATACGTACATTGTAGCAAGATTCCACACCTGTACCCGGTTCCACGTGCGCTTAGATAGTATCAAGGATATGTTTGCAACCCGTACTGCGAACCCGGTATCTCTCCCCTGTCAAAAGTCAACACATGCTCCGAGCCTCCAAACCCGCCAAACAACAACAAAAAGCTCCATATAGGTAAAAAAAAAAAAAAAAATCCACCTACCTCTCCACCCCAACATCCAACCCCGCACCAGCACCCGCAACCCCATCAACATCCCACCACCCATCCCTCCAATTCCGCCCCAAGAAATCATGCTCCAACGCCCTCACAAACCCCTGCGGCTGAAACCCACCCTCCACACACCCATTCAACCCAGGCATCGACTCAAACACCGACGCATTGAACTGCGCATCCCTCGCCATGAGATTCTGAAACGTATCGAAGCTATTCGGGGGCAGCGACAATCCCACCTCGCAATCCTGCCGGCCACCCTGCTGGCCACTGTGCGTGCGACGCTGTCTATAGCGTTCGTCTTGCAGGCTGCGGGAGACTTTGTTCAGCGCGTTGATGGTGTTTGAGAAGGGGGAGATTGTGTGGCGGTTGGTGCTGGCTTCGGTCATGGCGGTGCCGATGGCTTCGAGGGATTGGATGTCGGATTCGCAGTCTTGGGGGTGGGTGCAGGCGAGTATGTATTCGTAGAGGGAGAAGGCGGCTGTGAAGGGGTAGAAGGTTATGAAGCTGGAGGAGGGGGAGTTAGTGGGGATTTGTGCTTGGGTGGTTGGGGAATCGGGGGATTAGTGTTTTTTTGAGGGGGGGGCGGCGCTGGGTGGGATACGACGTACTGGTCGAATATTGTCTGTGGTGTCCCTTGGAGGCTTCGGTCTGTGTGGAATTCGAGGATGATGCGAATGATGTTGCGGGCAGCACGAACGGTCATTGTGTCCACGGTACGTTCTGGTTGTTCCTTCATGACTATGCGTTGCATGCCGATGATGATGGCGTTGATGGTCACTATGGATAGCATGAGGCTGTCAGTGGACGTGCGCGAATGAAATCCACGACAAGCAACTCACTAATATGATCCGCGAGCAGGCAGCGGAAATCACCCGTCGTCTCTGGGGCATTGAGAAGTCGTTCATAGCCCCACTCTTTCATAATGTCTTCAAGTTGGACACATAGTGCATCCACTCTTCGGCTCAATGCATCGATATCCTTGTGCGGCGCGTTCTCGTCTATCCAGTTGATCGTCTCAGCTGTCAGGTTTGTGTAGCGAATCCAGACGACAGTAATCGTGGTCATCCACATGGACGGCTGCAAGTTGTTCGTACGCAGTACAGCTGGTGGTCTCACCTTGTTTGGTGACCACCGCATCTAGCCCCATGTCAGCAGGTCCTCTTAGCCGTGTGAAAGCAACCTTGGCCATCACGGGGTTGGCGTGGAAAGGTTTCAACGTCCAACGTTTAACAGGCTACATGATTACTTACAACTGTGGGTTTCCCATAAAACAGGCGAAATAGTGAGTCGACACATAAGACGTGCCAATACAGGAAGCGTAGCACATCTCTCTCGTTTTCCCCCTCGAGCGTCTTCGCCGGCACGGTATCAAGTTCATCGATGCCTCTCATCTTCACAAACTGGCAAGCCTTGCAATGAAACTTCCACGACAGTTGGTAGTCGTGATTGTTGATGCAAGTCCAAGTTATCAAAGCTGCCATGTGGCCGTCTAGCTCGCTATCAGTCGAAGCATCTAGCCACGCAGGCACCGTGCCAAGGATTTTCAGATATGCCTTGCTAGTCAGTACGTCGCCCGGGCCGTAACGGTGTCGCAGGCCAAAGTATAACGCTGCATAGTACATTCCTCGTACGCCTGGCTTGATGCTAACGTAAGGTGAGTCGATGATGTCTGGAAGCGTCATCAAGAACTTGACATCAATCGCCAGAGCGAATACATCCGGCACGACTATATAGTTTGACATTTGAATGAAAGCTTCTATGCATGCCTTGGTCTCTGCTACCGAGAGATTCAATTCCACGTCAGCGGTACCATGGCGCACTCGAAGCTTTCCAAGGTCTTCCAACGCATCATTGAGCAGCGATATTGCGTTGTCAATTTGCGGTCTTGGAGTGGTGACGGGCGTGGTTTGATTCTCAAAGTTGCGTTTGGTTTTCGTTGCAAGTTGATATATCCATGCTACATGGTGTTAGTATCAGTATAGTATGTATTCATAAGACTATCTGTCTCTGAACACAATACTTTGGTATATCATGCGCGAAGATGCTCGACTTACATTCTTGGCCATCAGCCGCTGTCAAAGAAGCTTCAGGAGAAGGGATCAAGGAGGTTGACCGAGATGCTTCAGATCGAGCTGCTTCAGACCGAACTACATGTGACGGTGAGGATAAGAACGAGGACAAAGGTGGCGAGGCTCCTTCGTTGCTGCTATGGAGTTTCTTCTCAAGCGCTTCCAATCGATGCGTCAAACGATGAACAGCAACTTTTGGTTGTGCGAGTCGAGGTCTTTTTCTACGTTCCGCGTAATGGCAGTCTGCTTTTGCGATGGTACACTGGCGACAGATTGGTTCGCCCCTGTCACACTTGATCTAAAACTGTCAGAACGCTTGCTTTCTCATCGAGGAGCCGCTCTGCACGTGAGGTTTCGTGGCAGGATCGTTAGGGTACCCACTTTCTTGTACTTGCATCTCTGGCACTGTTACCACCCCCAGCTATTAGCGCATGTGGTAATATTGGGAAAGCAAACGTACAGCAAGTCCCATCTTGGAGTCGGTACACTACCTGGAATGGCAGGATTTTTGCAGTAGTCTCGATTCGTACCTACCGGTACGCGGCCAACGTTCAAGGATTGGCTCACGCTGCGTTGGCTTGCTCGAACGCGTACCTATGGCACTGGTAGATGTGTGTCCGGATCTAAGGCTAAACAATGCGCACAATGGTATCACCAAAAACAGGAAACAGCGTCACGGTCTTCTCCAAGACTCAATAGGGATATTTGCAGGGTAAGTATTCTTGCTGGGGGGGTGGACGAATTCTCCGGAGCGAAAGACTGGGGGCGTGGAGACGTTCATATATTAGGTGAGCTTGGCCCTGAAGTTAGCGTGCATAGCCATGTTTGCCAAACGTTCATAGGCACAGACGGTCAGATGATGGGCTCTTCGAGTGTGGTTTACGACCTACGATGCATGAATACTTCCCATGGCACTGTAATTGGGCGGAGGTCTATGATAATGTACTGTGGTAGTACGCAGAAGTGCTCGCCCGTGGGTCTTCTTGCAGGGGGAATTAGGGCCGTGCTTACGGAGATTAGAAACTCTGTATTCTATGTATTTACATGCAGACCCATAGTAATTTGTGTAGTAATCAATGCACACCTGAGTTTCTCGAAGGTTCTATCTCTCAGTCCTCATTAACTTGATATATAGCCCACCTCTACCACTAGCTTACTACTACTTTACTATTACCTAAAGCACTAAACCTGGCTATATTATGCGCGCAGCCTAGGACTTAATTATGCCTAATAAGCTCTTATTACTAGTAAATAGTATAAGGGCTTACTGCAAGGTAGTAATCTAAGCCTTGAGAATTGAATATATTACTGTTTCATCCAAAGTTGGTTTAGTTGGATACAGGGGTTGCGTAAGCGCCCCACAGGGGAGCACTTTTGCCTGATACCACAGTATGTGGTTTGATGTATCCTATAGAAGGATTAGCGCTTCCTGGTTTACAACTAGCGTGTATGCAGTCTTACGCTCAGGTACCGGTACCGAGGGTGCGCGCGTAACCGCTGTTAGGACACAATGTCTATTCCCACTGTGCCAAACAACCAAAAAAGTGCGTGCAATCCATGAATATGGATTATTCACGAATAGAATAGTATATATGGGCGCAGGGCACACCATGCCCCATATTCACCCATAGGTGCGCAACCTATAGCCTGACAACTGCCGTGTTCGCGTGTGAGGATCTGAGTGGCTACGATATGAAGCAGCTGGTGTCAGAACGCACTGGTTGGTTCTTAAGCACTACGGTACAAAACCGGTTTACAGTAGCCATATTTATCTAAAGTAGACTAAGAAGTAGTTTAGGTAGAAGAAGTAAACCTAAATAGGGTTTACTATACTATATATTCTACTTTTACTTCTACTTCTATTAATCTACTAGTATTACGTAGTAATAACTAGTTTCCTACTAACTATCTAAGTATTTTACCC